AATTACGCATCTTTGTGTACTTCGATATAGCTCAAATGCAAATTAAAAGTCTTTCCTTCCCTTAATTTAATTATGATAATAGAAACCTGCCAAACAATCAGTCTCTATGCTACCTTAAGAGAAATGAGGATTGACAGCAAAAGACTAGGCGGCTCTTCTACCCAGCTAGGACGACTAGTAGTTGAACTCATTTTCTGCGAATTCAGTCTCAGTGTTTGGTCGAAAGCGAAAGTCTTACGAAACATCATTCAAACAAGGCCATTCAGATCAGTCATTCATCAAGTGATATTCTGAGAGTAAGTCGTTATTACAGTAGTTTGGTTTCCTTGAAGAGTTTCAACTGTTTACTGCTCTGTGACATGGATGATACGTGCTCTGTCACTCAAACACAGACGTGTTTCTCATTTACAATATATGGTTCCAGCCTTGTGACCCAAATTTCATTTTCTCGATGCATAATTGGGTAATACCAGTGTCCAATAAACTAGGCTATCCACTGGATAGTACTAAAAACAGGGCTAACAATGGGGCGCTATCATCAGTATGAAACACACTTTTTCTCGGATGGAAACGTAATAGTAATTGTCAAGTTTAATTTTGTTCAAAATTATTATATAAGTGGTACTGAAGCAATAAAAAGCATGTTATAATGTGTTACGCATGCAAAAGACTGTGATGCAAAAAGACTGACAGACATCTTCAATTCTGTTATTGCGTCTTACAAAGAAATCACCAAATACCAGTCAAAAATTTACTGCCACCTTCAGTTATTCACTTGATCAGTTACATTTCGTTTACTTATTTGTTTCAATTTAATGACTACTACAAAAAATAAAAATAAGCCATATNTACTGCCACCTTCAGTTATTCACTTAATCAGTTACATTTCGTTTACTTATTTGTTTCAATTTAATGACTACTACAAAAAATAAAAATAAGCCATATGGACGATTTACAAACTATCCGTTAGGCCTCCTGCCAAAAATCTCGCTTTTACAGTATTGCTCCCTTATATGGAAGTTTGAAGGTGTAATTACATGTGCATATATTGAGATATCTTTCATTACAACTAGAGAATTACAAGATCATTTTCATACATTGTGACACTATTGTTGTACTTGTAGTTAGAATCATCCAATGAAACAGCTACTGACATGCACTTATTTTAAATATTACAAGTAACTATGTCTAAGTTAAGTCGTTTCAACAAACGGTGAAATCACGTTTTAAGTCTAAGCTGTTCTACCAAATTGTAAACAGAAGCAACGCCCAGAATCATAAAACTAATTGAGACATACAGAGAATACATGATCTGGAATTGTTTTTCCTTAGGTTCTTCTAGTAATGAACTTGTTAGCAATTGAAGAATCATAATTTAAAAGCACATTTATAACGACAAATGTCAGGACATGGACACGATGTCCTAAGATGGAGAGAACAAAAATTTATCACTTGGTCATCCGAGTAATCGAAGTGACGTGTGCGATCACGAGACTTAACATACGCTTTTCTTTAAGCGCAAAGATCGTCGAAAACTAAATAATTCAGGGTGGTAAATACCCCTGGGGAAAGACTCCCANATACCAGTGTCCAATAAACTAGGCTATCCACTGGATAGTACTAAAAACAGGGCTAACAATGGGGCGCTATCATCAGTATGAAACACACTTTTTCTCGGATGGAAACGTAATAGTAATTGTCAAGTTTAATTTTGTTCAAAATTATTATATAAGTGGTACTGAAGCAATAAAAAGCATGTTATAATGTGTTACGCATGCAAAAGACTGTGATGCAAAAAGACTGACAGACATCTTCAATTCTGTTATTGCGTCTTACAAAGAAATCACTAGCTAAATACCAATTAAAAATTCAGTTATTCACGTAATCAGTTTCTTACATCTCATGTTTCTTCTTTTTAAAAATTTACAAACTATCTATGAACTATTGTGCCAAAAATCTCGCTTTTACAATATTGCTCGCTTATATGGGTGTCTTGAGCTGTAATTACATGTGCATATCTTTCATTATAACTTGAGAATTACAAGATCATTTTCATACATTGTCACGTTATTGTTGTTCTTCTAGTTAAAATCGTCCAATGAAAAAACCACTGACAGGTAATATTTTAAATG